TCAACTTCGTCAGCAATTCAGCTGCACATAGTTCAAATCGAGGAATAGATATTACCTTTAATGGTGCTACTCGCGATTTTGCAGTCAGCAGACGTACTATAATTTTTCCTTTAGAATCGATGCTTCTTACGTAAACACAGGCTCCATACGCTAGACTGGATGCATCACAAAAACCGTGTATCTGAACATGAACGCTATCTAACACCAATACATGTCGTGAGACACTAATTTTATTAACAATTTTTAAGTCGTCAAAAAGTGTAAAAGATTCGTTATGAATGTCTGGTGGTACTGTTTCATCCCATGACATTTTTAACAGCCATAATTTTTGAAGCAATATTTTGGCTCTAATGCACAGAGAGAAAAACTGTAGATAGATTAACTAAATTATAGTTAAATTGCCTAGAATTCGTGGTTAAAAGTTGGCTAACTAAATAAAATAGGTGTTACAACTAATTGAAATTAGGTGAGTATCAAAGTGGCGAATTTAACTATTTATATTTATTAAGTAGATACTTCAATGTATCTTAATAGTAATACTTAGGAAAATAAATAGACTTTTTAGCTATTGTTTTCAGTTACAGTACCTGAATAAACAGCAGATTTAAAGTATTCGTGTAAGGTATTAGCTAACAAAATAGTAATTTTAATGTGTAATAATAAACATTTTATAGAAAATAACTTGTTGTTTTAACGACAAAATGTGGATAATTGATCTAGTTTATATTAGTCAATGTAAAAAATTATTGTTGGTATTACAACTCCTTTTTTTAGGTCTTATATCTAGACCTTTCTAGATATTTTATCTAGACCTTTCTAGATATTTTGACTATATATGAAGTAGTTAATCGGACTAAATAGAATAGGTATCAATACAGGTAAATAAATACACATTTATTTCGTATAAATAATAATTGTTTATTACATAAGAAATGTTACAAAAATGTATACAAAATTTTGTAAGCAGATAAAGAAAACAAACTGTACATTAGTACAACGTACACACGACAAAAAAGATTAGAATATAAAATAAATCTGCTCACATTTTGAGTAAATAATACACATTTGTGTAACAAACACAGAAAATATTTTAGATTACGTATAAAATAGAAAACTAAATAAACATTAACAAATACTATCTTACGTTGTAATAGTAATTAACAAACAATATGATAGATGATTAATGATTCTTAAACAATAATCGGACGAAAGTTGGTAAACTTAAAGGTAAAATTCACTAAAGAGAACCGCACAACAAAAAAGTTATTAATTCAGTGGTGCCAAAATAACAAAATTCAAGTATAAAATAATGTCGTAAAAAACACAAAAATGAGCGCTTTAAAATTAGATCAACAAACAAAAGAAAATTAATTTAAACAATATTAAAGGTAAAGGCGTGAACCGCTTAATAAACTAGCGGTAATTTTTTTAATTTTTTTAGCGGGCCTAATTGTTTAATTACAGTAGGATAGTGAATTATAAAATGGTGTTTTGGTGTTAAATCTGCTTTAAATAAAGAAATATATTTTTTATGGTGTTGTTTTATAACATGTTTCAGTTCATTAAGATTTTGTTCGTCATACGACGGAAGAAGGCATAAGTGAACAAGTTTGCTAAGCAAAATAAAAAGTTTCCAAACTGCATCCTTCTTGGAAATAAAATCACCAATAATAAGCGGAAGATAATGTAAGAAACAGTAGGTTTCAGTAGCTGACATTTTTAATTTTGTACTTTTTAAACAATTTAGTGTAAAATTTACTGCTTTATTGCTTTTATCTGCGTAGGATACTGAAAATTTGTTAAACGATTATTAAGCATATCAAGAGTGAAAAACTTCTTTTCAAAAATAAAATAATTTAAAAATTTTATAAGTTCTGTGTGACAAATTCCCTCAAACAGATCGTGCATTATATCAACCGATATGTTGTTCACAACATTGAATGACGGTATCATGTTAAACACACAGTTTTCTCTTATACCTGTTTCACTACTATTTCCAACAACTACATCATCCAAATAATTTTTGGAAGTTCTTAATACAGTTTCGTCTTCACAACATTGTGTTTTAGTTACGTTTTTATATTATATATCAAATTCTACAAAAATAATTTGCTGAAAACGACCGTGATTAACCCAGCATTGTATTAAGCCGCAAATTATCGCCGATTACGGCAGCTAGTACAAAATGTACACGTACACTTTTTGATTGTAAATTTATAACAATACCGTTATCGTCTAAAGTCTTAAGAACAGAACAAACTTGTCCAAAATTTTTCTCTGTTCCAAACTGTAAAGTAGACGTCATGGTAAGGCAAACATCAAAAATGTTATTTAATTTAGAAGCGTGTATATTGCTGACAATTTGTGTATGTTACTCTTCGATCCTAATGGATTGTTGATTTCGAAATCGTCTTGATATAAAAGGTAAGGCACAACAAATTTTTTATCGAACTGAATAACTTTGTTTCTCCAAACACTGCCGGAACATACATTAATATAAGCATTGCTTGCCTGAATTGTATTCAAAATACAATTCATTGACTCGACAATATTGGGTAACTCAAGGAATCGTCTTAAGTTATCTTGTAATGGTAGTATAACACCTTTTGAAACAGATGATAATTTATTAATACTTGAAGAATCATTTATAATGTATTCCATGGGATCTGAATAAATATCATTTGAAACAAGAAATTGTTTAAATTTATAATCAGATTTAAACATATTTAGCAAATCTATTACGGATGTAAATACTTTACGAACTGTAGCAACACAGTCTTGGTTACAACGCAAGTTGGTACAAATTTTATCTAACATTGGTTGTACAACTAACTGTTGTATACTATTCGTAATTTTAAGTGCAGTTTTTCTAGTAATTGTTACGCATCCAAACAAATCTAGAATAAAAGTTGTTATTTTGTTACAAATGTCTGGATTATTAGAGTTTTCAGTTGATTTAGTAAAAAAGTTTACACAATTGTCAGGCTGAGTACAACTATTGATATTTTCTTCTTTGGCGTATGATATGTTAGATTTTGTAATATTTGGTGAAAATGATTTTGGAGAATTTTGTTGAAAATGCTTTGTTATGTGGCGTTTAAAAGAATACATAGATTGGAACATTTGTGGACAAGCAGTGCACGAAAAATTGCACAATGTGTTTTTACACTTGTGGACATATTGCAAATGTTTGAGATAAATTTTAACGTTTTCAAAAGATTTTGTGCATAAAAAACAATTCATATTAACAAAATTAAATAAAATTTTACAAGATGGTCAGTTAACAACTAATCGTTAAATAAATCTAAAGTTTAAATTACGAAGTTAATTCGGAAATAAGTGTAGTTACCGCAGTGTTCGAAATATTATTATCCTGTATTTCGTAAAAAAACTTTTCGATGAATTGCCAAGGCTGCAAACACTGACGTTGGTATTCCAAATTGAGAACGTAGTAAATTTGAAAAGTCACTG